TTACCTTTAAATTAGATTAAATTGAATTCAATCATACGAGATATTCTGATAACCACACACGGTGGTTGGTCTGGGAACCAATCCCGATCTTATGTTTCTTTTCTTATTGTTGTGTCACGTTAATAACAAATCCCTCCTGGTAACGTTTGGTGCATGGGTTTGCGGTGACCCAATGTGATTGACCAAACCCGAGGACAATGTTAAGCTTGATTTTTTGTCTCGTTTGCATGGTCTAAGTAACTTTGTTCGGTCAATTTTTATGGGAAAAATGGGGCGACTATTTCGGGACAGACTACTGGCCCCTGTATTGTTTTCTACAAAGTGTTGTTTAGTACCTATAAGGGGAAATCCAGCCTTGATATCAAAAGACTCTAGAAAAAAGCAGAAAAAAACCCAGAAAAGTAGACTGCTAACAGCTTTAGGGAAATCGGACAAAATTGAGAAAGTTATAAAGTCTAAAAGGAGTAATCACTACAAATATAGGCTGTCGAAATTGGTTGAATCGGAATTGTCTCAGTGATGTAGTGGCAGAAATCTTTTTCATTTCTTCCAACAAACAAAATAACAAAAACTTCAAAAGGGAGAAGGTGCTTAGACGAAACACGGAATATGATATTTTTTGTGCATGACAAATGGGTGAGTTATCCGTCGCTACGTTACAATGCAATGACCAATCTGCCAATTTGAGATACGCTTTCATACGTAGTAATGACCTTATTACAAAGGTTGCATTGCCCTTTTTTGTATTTTCCTGTGTTGTTCTCTTGTTTTCTTAACTAAGAAAGTATGTATAAGTTGTACTTGTAGCCTATATGTTACAAGAACATGTTCATTTTTCTTTGTATAAACACAGTATTATTGACGGACACTGGATATATTTGTGGCGGATATATATTATAGACTCGTGTGATATTGACATCTGGAAACCAATTTTTGTTGTTGTTATTACTGCATGCCTACCCAAATAAAAATCACAAGAGTGAAACATTTTCTGAGCATAAAAACGACTGATTTAATTTGTTTAATCGTTAATGAGGTGATAAAAGAAATCTCTAGATGAAGCGCAAGCTGACGTAGAATTTGGTAATATTGATCCTTCCTAGGTTACATTTTGATCACATGTTGCTGTCCATACGCTGTTTGATCTCTTCCATGTTTCTTAGCATGTCATGTTATCTCACACTGTATGGACAGCAAGATGTCATTTCAGTTAGGTGTCCATACGCTGTAAGATCTCTCACCATGTTTCTCAGTATGCCATGTTATCTCACACTGTATGGACAGCAAGATCTCATCTCAGTTAGGTGTCCGTACGCTGTAAGATCTCTCACCGTGTTTCTCAGTATGCCATGCTATCTCATACTGTATGGACAGCAAGATGTCATCTCAGTTAGGTGTCAATACGCTGTAAGATCTCTCACCATGTTTCTTAGCATGTTATGCTATCTCACACTGTATGGACAGCAAGATCTCATCGCAGTTAGGTGTCCATACGCTGTAAGATCTCTCACCATGTTTCTTAGCATGTTATGCTATATCACACTGTATGGACCGCAAGATATCATCTCAGTTAGGTGTCAATACGCTGTAAGATCTCTCACCATGTTTCTTAGCATGTCATGCTATCTCACACTGTATGGACAGCAAGGTGTCATCTCAGTTAGGTGTCCATACGCTGTAAGATCTCTCACCATGTTTCTCAGCATGTCATGTTATCTCACACTGTATGGACAGCAAGATGTTATCTCAGTTAGGTGTCCATACGCTGTAAGATCTCTCTTCATGTTTCTTAGCATGTCATGTTATCTCACACTGTATGGACCGCAAGGTGTCATCTCAGTTAGGTGTCAATACGCTGTAAGATCTCTCATCATGTTTCTTAGCATGTCATGCTATCTCACACTGTATGGACCGCAAGATGTCATCTCAGTTAGGTGTCCATACGCTGTAAGATCTCTCACCATGTTTCTTATCATGTTATGCTATATCACACTGTATGGACAGCAAGATGTCATCTCAGAAAGGTGTCCATACGCTGTAAGATCTCTCACCATGTTTCTTAGCATGTCATGCTATCTCACACTGTATGGACAGCAAGATATCATCTCAGAAAGGTGTCCATACGCTGTAAGATCTCTCACCATGTTTCTTAACATGTCAGGCTATCTCACTCTGCATGTACGGACAGCAAGATGTCATCTCAGTTAGGTGTCCATACGCTGTAAGATCTCTCACCATGTTTCTTAGTATGTCATGCTATCTCACACTGTATGGACCGCAATGTGTCATCTTAGTTAGGTGTCCGTACGCTGTAAGAACTCTCACCATGTTTCTTAGCATGTCATGCTATATCACACTGTATGGACAGCAAGATGTCATCTCAGTTAGGTGTCCATACGCTGTAAGATCTCTCACCATGTTTCTTAGTATGTCATGTTATCTCACACTGTATGGACAGCAAGATCTCATCGCAGTTAGGTGTCCATACGCTGTAAGATCTCTCACCATGTTTCTTAGCATGTCATGCTATCTCACACTTTATGGACAGCAAGATGACATCTCAGTTAGGGGGTGTCCATACGATGTAAAATCTCTCACCGTGTTTTTTAGCATACCATGTTATCTAACACAGTACGGACCTCAAGATGTCATCGCAGTAAGGTGTCCATACGCTATAAGATCTTTCACCATGTTTCTTAGCATTTCATGTTATCTAACACTGTATGGACAGCAAGATCTCATCGCAGTTAGGTGTCCATACGCTGTAAGATCTCTCACCATCTTTCTTAGCATGTCATGCTATCTCACACTGTATGGACAGCAAGATGTCATCTCAGTTAGATGTCCATACGCTGTTAGATCTCTCATCTTTATCTAACACTGTACGGACAGCAAGATGTCATCTCAGTTAGGTGTCCATACGCCGTAAAATCGAAGCACATATTTTTCAGATGATCTCTTCCTCTTCTCTCTATCTTTCTCTATTCATTCTCAGAATTAGATTGATTCTGTCTGTTATTTTTTATTTCTTCTTCTCTTACATGCTCTTTTCTTTTGTCTTTCTTGCGAATTATCATTCATTGACTACTGTTCCTTTCCTCTTCTCTCTCTCCCTCTCTCTCTCTCTCTCTCCCACTCTCTCTCTCTCTCTCTCTCTCTCTCTCTCATAACCACCTTCTTCCGATATAAATATGCTATAAATGAAGAAAAACTTATAGCAACCAATGTGAACAGGTCATGAGCTAACATTCAAGCATTGATAAAAATAAATGTTCATACTAATATCCTTTTTTTGCAGTTAAGCTGTATATGGCTTTAAATGGAAATTAGTATTGCTTTATCTGTTTAAAAAAAAATAAACGAGTAGGCCTAATACATTTAAAAAGATATGATACTACACTACATAACTCATACATATGTAAAATCTCAGTCGCACGGACGAGAGCAACACAAGACCGACCCCAGACTGCACAAAATAAAAGTCACGTGACCCCGAATGTCAAAAATCAGATCGGTGTGGAGTCGGTTTGAACAAGTCTCGTGGCATCATTGAGGTATTACTGGCTCTACAGAGAATACAAATGAGCAATTGAGCTCATATTTAATTAACTAGGAGACAAACCCATTGTGCTATCTAATTCTTCCTTAACATATTTCAATTGTAACTTAAATTAATACATGGATATTGCACTTCGCGATTAGGCTGATGGCCATTAATATAAAATACACGAAAAACCTTTTTAATACCAGTGCAAATGTATAAAATACACCTACACTCATATAAATATATGATGCATACTACTCTCGCCAGCATCTTGTGCAAATCAAATATACATCCATGAACACTTATGTTGATTGTCACTAATCTACAGAAATTACAGACGATAACAGTCATCTTGTTAAATACCTGAGATAATCTAAACAGAGCGACTGAAGTTTTGATACCACTACAGATAAAGATGAGTGCTGGTAAATTAAATTTGCCTGCATGACATGTACGAGAGAAACTGTCCGGAAGCGATTGAAACTGTCTATTAAGTTATCGGGAAATATTGACTATGTAGTATATAATATAGGAGTAATTGTTTGGGCCAAACTGTGTAGGCTTATTTATGACATTTAGGAATCATTTAAATGATACTGACACACTTATATCAATCTTGCTGAAAATCACAACCAGTGAAAACCACTGCACACAGATATATCATTCTAGCAATGTTTCAGACTTATTTTTGCTATTTTGCTAGTCCAAAACAACCCCAAAACAACTTCGACAGTTTTCCCCGAAATGCAGCAGCACAAACAGAACTCTTACAGTAACCTTAACACGTTATTTTTTCAAATGAATCATATTTCCATGCAATATGGCCTACATATTCCATTTGCTATCATCTTTCAGATCATCAGCTCTTGAGACAGACATGAACAATATTTGTATGTTTATAGTTCTAAAGCATGATATATGTTATAAGAGAGGAAGTGGTTAAATATTTTTTCAGGCGAATTTTCATTATAATAAGTGTGGCCAGGCAGGTGAGACATCTTGTAGCATTAAAAACGCAAAAGAATTGAAATCAAATTTTTGACGGAAAAAAGGGAAGAGAACGAGAGAAATGGAAGGAGATAAAGGAAGAATAGTGGAGAAGGAAGGGGTGAAATATAAGTGTGGTTACCGTCTTTCACCCTTCCAAACATAGTTATAGAGGCAAATAAATGTCTTGCTCTTATTACTAGTACTTTGGATTTTACTAAAGTACTCCAACTAAAGATCTCCAACGCAATGTATCCATAACTGAAAAACTATGAGACGCCCTCTATAGATAAACATAATGAATACCGCTATGAAGCTCAAAGGTGCTTTAACGCTGCGCACGCACTCTCTGTGGAAAAACCCACATCTATTAATAGGCCATCAAATTATATAGGATGCACAAACTGCATTATATTCACAGACGATCTACTGAAGTATGAGTTTAGCATTGTAATCACATTTGTATTGATGTAAACACTTGTATAGAATCTCATTCTTTTCGATCAAAGTTATTCGCACCTATTTCGACACATAATGACATTTGTGTAATCAACGTGGGAACTTGGTGTATATGCAGAACTATATGCAATATAGGACGCAATCTACTATACTAAAATACGTCACTGCATTGCATATACAAAGTTTGTGCTTGCAGAAACTGACTGCTGGCTTCTATGACACGTCAACTGATCACAAATTTAAGTTTTATTGGACATTGGATAAATGCGTAGAATGAGCTCGTGTTTGTAATAAGCCAGAAATCCGCTATTTGTACCAATGGCTGAGCAGACTGAGAAAGAAAAAGCTCCAAGCTCTTTAGAGAACCTGACGTGTCCACTATGCCTTGATATCTTCGACGAGGCAACCATCCTGACTTTATGCGGACACACCTTCTGTCGGAAATGTCTCAAGAACTATGACCTTTCCCACCTGGATCTCGATCACATGATCTGTCCTCTCTGCAGGAAGATCACCAAATTGTCTGCGAACCGTGTCGATGATTTCCTCACCAATGTGACTGTCAACGGACTTGTAGATAATTACCACGCCGAGTGTGGAGGGATGAACGCTGTCCTTGAGATGCGTCCAAAATGCACTGCTTGCAAGTTTCATCAAGATGCTGTCTCATTCTGTAAAACGTGTAATTTCTACATGTGCACTAATTGCGACTGTAGCCATGAGCAGTTGACGTCACACTATGAAGGTCATGAGATTGTATCGATACTGGATATCATCAACGGGAAGGTCACTATTAGCCATCTATCCGAGAAGTGCTGCATCCACAAACAAGAGAACAAAGATATGTTTTGTGAGGATTGTAAGGTCCATGTCTGTTTCAAGTGCGTGATCGTCTGTCATCAAAACCACAACATCAAGAATCAGGCTGACTTCGAGCAGCAGTTACGTCTTAAGGTAAGTGGGTTCATTTGACAAAAAATACTTGCGTTTGGCCAAGGCCTGACAAAATTACCTAAACGATTCAGATAAGGGAAGGTACCATATGCAACGGAAGTGTGTGTGTGTGTGTGGGGGGGGGGGGGGGGTAGGGGTTTGATCTCCCTGCATTATTTAATTTGGGGACAAAATTGGTTTCAGCCCTGTGAGCAGGGGCGGATCCAGCCGGCGGCAGGGGAGGGGGCCCAATTTATGAGAAAATATTTAGCGGCGAAACAACCGGCCGATAATTCGCTCAGGAGTGAGCACTAATTTTGTTTTTGGCCCTTGAAAATTTGAAAATTCGCACCCCCCCCCCCTTGAGCGAAAGGGGAGGGGGCCCATCTCCAAAAAAGGAAAAATTAAGATGTTTTTACACGTTTTTTTCCCCACAGGGGAGGGGCCTCCCCTGGATCCGACACTGCCTGTGCCCCCCCCCCCCCCCGCAAGGAAAAATTCCTTTGCATCAAAATAAACTTCTACATGCTCTGGAGCTCTGAGTAATTTGTAATCATCCTAAAATCAACATTTTCTCCACGCAGTCACTACATACACTCCCTCGAATATTGATAGACCCAGTGTTTATTGTATATGTTGTAAAACATGACTACAATTAGGGCACCACAACCGAGGGAGAAGATTCTCCCATCTATCAAACGGTTGGGGCAACATAAGATCCCCCACCCCCTTGACAAGGATTGTAAAGTCCAGTTGGTCATCAAAATCACAAAATCAAGATTTAGGCTGACTTTGATCAGGAGTTACGGCTTAAGGGAAAATATTTCCTAGGCAAAGGGTTGGGGAAAATGAGATCCCCTTAAGGGAAAATATTTCCTAGGCAAAGGGTTGGGGAAAATGAGATCCCCTCCCCCCCTCTTGAAAATAATTATTTTTCAGTTAAGCTCAATCAGCAGATAAGTCCTCTAAAATATAAAGTTTGACCATTACAAAATCTTAATTTCATGAGTTATCGGCCGCTACCCTCTTTTACTTCATACAGAAAGAATTGTAATCATATTTGTTCATACTGTAGAAATCATGTCTCCTAGATGTTCCATAAGAGAGGGGCATATTATTCCCTCATTCAGGAATGGGGCAATAAAATGTCTGCCCTCTATTCATCACAAAGCCAAATTTATTTACAAACTAAAGGGGATTTGTTTTTCCCTTCTCCCTCAAGTTTAAGTTCAAGTTTAAGTTTATTCAAACCAATCAAACACAACATTTTACAATCAATTGACACAAAAGAAATAAAAAACATGATAGGTTTGGGACCCCGGAGAAGCAGAGCTTGTGATAAGGGGCCCCTTAAAAGGTACATAAACAAAAACAAAATAACAGTATTTAGAATAACTGATGACAAAAACATATTTACAATGATAACTAATGAGTAAATATGGGAACAGAAAAAAAGATAACACACATACACATACACACCCACGCACACACACACAGACACACCCACATACACACATACACACATGGCTTTCCAGGATTTACTTTAACATATTTTGTAATCTCTCAAAAAGATATTCTCGACATGTATGTTTAAACATAGGTAGTGTTGGACTGGATCTGATGTTTTGTGGCAACTTATTCCATTCTTTGATACAATTAATTACAAAAGAGTTCGAAGCAGTTTGTGTTCTCACAAACGGCTGATGGATAAGATTTCTCTGACGTGTGTTAATGTTGCAGTATAACCATACAAAAGAGGTTCTAAAAAAACGATGTGTTGTCATTCCAAATTCTAGAATCCTCTATCGTTCGCTACGCTCGCTTTCTTCCCGAATCGCTAAAGCGAGGAGGTATATGATTCTTTCTATCACAGGGGCGGCTAAATAAGTTTCTCCCCTTTACAAGACATATTTTCGCCGTATATCGATTAGCTTTCAGTAGCAACATGTCTGACGTTTCATGTACTATTCAGTAATCCATGTTGACTCCCCTTAATGGGGCCTCTCCTAAGAGAGAGGAAAATCGAGAAAACTGTATGAAAATAGCCGTGATCTATAACGATGTATAGTATTTTTCTTTGGCTATAAAAGATACATTTAAACTTTCGAATCTCAAAATTGTGTCGCTCGGTCGCTGAACTTCCTCGTAATTCATTCGATGCAGTGTGTCCTCTACCACTAGGGCCTCGAGACCCCCCCCCCCAAGGAAACGTTTTAACCTTCCAAAATCTTTTCCCTCTTACTTTGTCGCTTACACGCTCTCTCGCATAGTAAAAAAGCATTAAAAAAAATTAAAAATGTCCCATAGAAACGTTCTATACGCCAAGGTAAGAGCTTTCGTCTATTAAAGAGGAGCAGGCAAATGCCCCATCCGACTTGCAAGACAATAACAAATTTTATTAGGTAATAAAGCAGAATAGAAAAGTATTCAAGAGCTCTATACGGTTTCAACTTTCCAAAACAATACTTTTTCCTCACGGTCACTATAGGCTTCCTTACATTTTAATAGTTGGAACGTTTCTTATCATTGTACAAACCCTATATTATTATGCGCTTGAAGTGGGTAAGGTGAAAAGATCAATGCTTCTCTTTTGTAAAGGGGATTGGACGACACTTTTGCCCTTTACCCTCTCACAAGACATGGAGCTCTTTCTGTTTCTCGCATATTATTATGCAAAACGCTATTTTGAAGTAGGCTTAGTTTTTCCGTTGTGTTTCAAACTATACTTGATCACACTTTTAAATTTCACAGAAGCATTTTATTCGCTCGGTCGCTTCACTCCCTCGCGTAATTGTAGACTTTCTGTCGAGCTATATGACCCTTAATATTATAGAAACACTATTACATTAAGTATGTTATGTTATTATTCAAATATTAATTTTAAATATGCTTCAATTGCAAACCTTTTAAGAGAAATGCAATGTCTTTTTTTTGGTTTCTTTTGTTACACGAAAATCGTTTAGATAAAAGTAATATGTTAATGAAAATGATGATGATGAACATCATCATCATCATCCTCATCGTCATCACCATTATTCTTCTTATTATCTATATATTGCTTTTGTTATGGTTATTATGTATCATCATATTAATCATTATTATCATGATAATGATTTCAATCATTATTATCATAATACTATTACTATTTGGCCCATTCTGATATTACTGCCTTCATACAATGGACTAATTACAAAGGCTGGATTTCCTTTGAAGAAAGAAGAAAAACAACAATGTATTCGATTCCTCTGTCCTCGTATGAATATGTGGGGGGGGGGGTGGTTTTATTACTTTTGTGAAACTTCAGGCGCTTGCAAAATCCGTATTTCATGTTCAAACCAAGTCCATATAAATAGCATACATCTCATGCCAGAAAATGTTCTTTTCATTTCTCTATCATTATTTTGTTTTGTTTAGGTGAACGACCTTGTCCAGCGATGTGCAGCTAAGAAGACAGAACTGGAGAAGAACATTCAGAATGTTGAGGTACAACGCCATGAAGTATATACTGCCGTGCAGAAACTACAGGACGATGTCAGTCAAGCCTACAGCATCAAGGCCAAAGAGCTTGAAGAAAATCACCAAAATCTCATCGAGCAAATCAATGCAGTAAAGCGGAGTTTCGATGACGACCTCAGCGTCTTGAAATCCAAGGATCGACAGAGGATCAAGAGTATTTGTAGTTCAATATCACTGGTATCCAATGACAGACTGGGTCGTCTTGAGACAGACAGTCTGTCTGCTCATACCTTGCTCTGTAAGGAGCTGGATGCCATGCTGAAGGAGGCTACTGATCACACTTCTGCGGCAGCCATTACAAAGAAAGCACAGGAGAAGAGGTTTAAGCCTGCTGTTGATACTCGTCTTGACCTCGGGAGCATCTCAGAATCAGATCCCAATTTGCAAGTCGTTCAGTGTGTAGATCTACAGAGAGACTCTATGTTCGGTATGACCCAGTACTCTGAAGACAGTGTTGCTATCGCATATTGGGATGCACTTGGTGTAGATATCATTGATTTAACTGGTAAACAGGAGCAGTATGCAAACATACCAAGTAACATAGACTGTTATGATCTTGTGTTTCAAGAAGACAGGTCGTTATGCGTATCGACGGGAACCGACGAAGCATACCTATATTCTCCCAATGGCTCTAGGAAATCAACCATCCACGTGAAAGACAATGTCTTTAGCAGAATAAACAGAAGTCCATCAAATGAAATCCTCATCGCTAGCAGTGAAAAGCAATTCTATATCTATGACCCGACTGGATCCACTCTCAAGCACACCGTTCCAACAAAAAACAACATTACGAGGCAGTTATCTGCTACCAGGTCGGGTTTGATCGTCACGAGTTCATGTAATTGCACCAACCCAAGCGTGGTGACGGTCTATGACAGGGATGGGAATGCTGGTAAGTCTCTACAAGCTCCATTCAAGGTCCACCTGTATGCTGCCGTGGATGAGCAGGACAGGGTGTATGTAGCGAGTGTTGATTGTAAGAATGATAACGTGGTGATCAGGCTCTATGACCTTGATGGTCTGAGCCTGAAGGAGAGAGTCGAGTTCAATGTACTTAATATTACACTTGATGGTACAAGGTGTTACTTGGTTTTCCTCTCTCCAGACATGCTCGCGTTTGCTTGTGACAAGAAGTTGCATTTCATCAAAGTATCACTGTAATCCATCTCACACTCATTACCATTATGTTAATATCTCTCTGCTCCATCTCTACTTTAATATGGGCCTATAATGTATCATATTATATTGTTTATTATGTGATAACTAAGTTACTAACCGAATAAGAAGATGCCTATTCTCTCGATAGATTTGAATTGCATGACTACCGTTGTAATTATCCAATATAATTATAAATTACCTCTCTCGAAATATTATGTAAATCCGGGATATAAATACTGTATAGTACGTTAACTATAAATCTACTTCTTGCATCGTGTAATCGTTTCTCCAAGATATTTCCTTAACACCAGTCATATGATATCATAATGTACAAATCGAAAATTGGTAAGATATTGATTAACTTCTTATTAGTGTTATTTATCTTACGTTGTTATCAAAGATTTTTTTTTAAATGTTTGTGGTTCTATTTCTTCAAATTGACTTATATATTATGATTATTTTGCATCGTTCTGGCTATCCTGTATTAAGTTATTGGTATTATTATTTTGTTTTAATTGTATAATATCATTTTACTCTTCAAATGGATGTTTTATTGAACTTGCCTTCTAGGCCTATAGATCAAATTAGATTTTTTTAAATCTTGGGAGGACCATGCATATGGTGCGACATACTATTAACAATTCCTTCATATTGACTTTGCACCCTGTTAAAAAAGCCATTTAATTGAAAGCTCTGGGAACTGATAATAAGAAAGATTAGTTTGCTGTGATCTAAGAATGTATGATGTTTTAAATCCACCCATGACAATTCATATTCAATTCAATTCGATTCGTTTTATTAAACCATTTAAAATTAAAAAAACAGTATACAAATCATGCGTGTATGAACTTTATTGATACAGTGTAAATGGTTAGGGTGCCCCTTAAGCCAAGGCTTGATTTATGGGACCCCCAATACATAAAGAAACATACATAGAATAAACATGAGATACAAACAAACTGAGTTATAAAAAAAAACATTAAAACATTAAGCACTATTCAGGTAAAGGGAAATAGGAAAAGGTGAAATAAGAAAACGTGAGGAGGAGAGATGAAATTACATGTTTATTTGACATAGGTAGTTATTATTGAACGTTTGAATTTGGTTTTAAATGAAGTAACATTAGTGCTGGTAGTTGCATCAGAAGGGAGGGAAATCCATATTCGAGGACCAGCAAGATTCTTAGCTTGATACAGATTCGAGCAGGTTTTAATAAAAGCGTAATATACCAAAGGTGATTGAACATAGGACCTACATGTATTATTCACGAAGCAATGCTTCTAATATCGAACGTAGAGAAGGGTTATTCACATATTTACCATGCACGCACTTCTGAAATATAAGCTAAATTAATTAATGTAAACGTATCACTAAATGGAAACATGAGTCTGAACTTGATTATATTTTATGGAGTTTTTACTACCAAAGTCATTTTTAATCAACTGTTGATATAAATATGAGTTGGTTTTCGTTTGTAAGAGGGAAAATGCCGACTTAAATAAATAATGATGTACAAAAAATAAGTACAAAAATAATGATGATGGTAATAATAATAATAATGATAATATCATTTATTACTAGTGAAGGAAATGTGTATAAAACGCAAGCACTTATAATGCGCCAACTATCTAGGAAACTATTCCGGGGCGCATTGTGAGACAAGTAGCACAATAATTCAAGAGGAGAAGTACAGTAGGCTAGAGAGCAAATACTGCACTAGTGTTGAACTAGATTAATGTACTGCATGCTTTTGAAAAGAGGCGCGATGCAGGGAAATGTGTCGGAGTAGGGTGGCGCTCTCTCGAGGATATTTCCAACTAGACAACCATCAGGTCATATCTTCGCAGCGGGTACCGCGTAATGAATCCGAAAGCAATCGAAATGACTGAAAAGCATCAGTCACAATGGAAAAGCTGATTGATTTTTCGGGAAAATGTTAATTAAGAACCACTTTAATATTTAAAAAAAAAGCTTACTGTGAAGAACAAAAAATAACCCCATTTTGGGGTGTTTTATTTTGGGTCTACTTCCTTCAATTTCAACAGCTAGTATAAATCAACATCAAATTTTAAAAAAATACTTTGCAGTGACATTGCATCACAAAGGTAACAAACTATTGTACATACTCCGTGGCAAAAAGGAAATAAGCGACGGAAAGGAAGGGCAATGACAAAAAAGAGGGGGGGGGGTAGCTTATGACCCGGGTTCAAATTCAGTTCTCTTTAATTTATTAGACTCAGTACTGATGATGCAAATTACTAATAAATATGATACGCAAGATCATCCTCCTTCACTTGATGCAACTCGTTTTTAAAGCATCACTTTAAACAAACAGAACTTTGTTATTCCTTGCTCATTTTTTCTTGATTGAGGTGTCATATGAACGAGCAGAAAATGAACTTTCTAGAAATGTGAATTTTTCTTCAAAACTCAGATACCGCCGCCAAATGACTTTTTGGCTTCCTTCCTTCAAATTGCTTTTAATCACTCAGGCGTGAAATATGCATTATATGAGTTGTATCAAATGAAAGAGGAGGATCTAAGCTTTACAAATATGTGTCATTTGTTAATTATAATTGTGATTAAGTTATGATAAAACATCGATAATTCTAGGGTTCGTTTTTCTGGGTCGCACTGTATAGATAAAAATGATGAATACCACCATTAATGTAATTTCCTATTGTAGGTTACAAGATGCTTTGCATGCCTATACAAATGAAGATTAGGGTGTGTACGCATGTACATTACATGTACGTACATAGTGAACGGTTTAGCCACTGACAGTTTTCGCTTCGAGCTACATGCATGGCCGCTTTAGTTTTTTAATTTTTATATAATGGTATATCTTGTTTGGTTCTACCTGGAATAAATTGAAAATGATCTAATATAAAGATATGGTGATGTTCTTTGTTGTGTCGGTTTGGTAGACCATTTCATTCATATGCCCTTTTTGTATTTTTAGGAGATACACTTTTCTCTGTTAAAGATTAGATCTAAATTGTCGATAGGAAGACGTGTTGCTTCTTCCTTATACAGGATAATTGTTTTCCATCTTGAAATCGTTTTATGATGTCTTACTGATCTACTTTCTGCCTGTATCGCGCGTGGTCTCGTGTTCGTAGCTGAAGTTCGGTGCTCCCCAAGGTAATTATAATGTGTCATTGTTATGTTTGTATAGTATAGCAGACAGGGGCGTAAATCCCGGGGGGATGGGGGGGGGGGCTGCATCCCCCCTGGCTTGAAGTAGGGGGGATGGCCTGTACAATCATCCCCCCTGATATTACCAAAAAAAAGAGAGAAAAAAAAAGGAAGAAGAAGAAGAAGAAGAAGAAGAAGAAGAAGAAGAAGAAGAAAATGTGATTGTTTCAATTTTAGCATAATACATGAGAAATGAGTTATTTTGTTAATGTAAGTATAACTGTATAGCCTACACGGATATAGTATGTCACGATCATTAAGAGTAGTTGCGCGACGTGCGCGAACAAGCACTTCATAAACTTTAGAATAATTTTTCGTTATTTTGCAAGGTATTATTATAGCCCAGACGTAAAGTGCGCCAGCGCGCGAGCGCTTAAAAAGTGCAATCATGTACAGTAGATGCCCGGCTCCCCCCACTTAGTATTATTTAGGGTACGCGTATGCTCGTTCCCTCCCTTTGAAAGCACCCCCCCCCTCACCCTATCACAGGACTGCCAACATTCCTGAATCCCCCTTTCGCCGGCTTTCCGCTGGCTTTTCCTACCTTGGAGACCCCCCCCCCCCCCAAAAAAAAAAAAAATAAAAAATCCGGAACACTGCTAAATGTACAACCCCCCCCCCCCCAAATTTCAGGTGAGCTATAGTCGATCGAGGGGGACTGGGGGCCAATGATTTTACTTTTCAAAATGAAATAATCCTGAATGAGCTTTCAAAGCTAGGAGGAATTTCAGGAATTTGATCCCGGGATTTAATCAATTTTTCTATGATATTCAAGAAATTTTATAACCTCCTTTTTACGTTTGTCAGGAGAGAAAAAAACCACCCCCTTTTTAAAGAAATTAAGAGTCGAGAATGGTACAACGAATCGTCTTCTTTCTCTAATGATTTAATGAAACGTAAAAGCTTCCGCGCTTCGCGCAGGAGGGGGGGGGGGGAAACTGAATTCAGACGAGGATTAAGAGTCGAGAACGGTACAACGAATCGTCTTCTTTCTCTAATGATTTCATGAAACATAAAAGCTCCCGCGCTTCGCAAATAAACCTATAAATTACAATACATATGAAATACACATTGGGACGAGCCCTTTTCAGCAACCCCCCTCCCCCTTTTCAGCAAAAGTCCGGTGTGTAAAGTCAATACGGGTCGACCTTTTTCTTTTGTTACGAAAAGGACATTTTGGCAACACGCATGGGGTCCGTCCGTTCTCGGAGTGGGGGGGGGGGGGGGGCCGGGGGGAACTGAATCCAGACGAGGATTATTTTCGAGAACGGTACAACGAATCGTCTTCTTTCTCTAATATTGTTTGTTGTTTGTTCGTTTGTGTGTGTGTGTGCGTTGCTTTGCCACTTGTGGAATAAAGGGGTTAAGTATGTGTAGGAGTGAGGTTTCCAAAATATTTCAATGGTGCCAGGTGGTGTTGTTTATTAAGGGGGCTAAAATGCTTGGGGACCGGTCCGGATACATTCCCTGGTGCTATTTCGAATTGGCAGTAGTGTTTCATCATTTGTTTATCATTTTGTGACGCATGATATGCAAATTATATAACTTGGTATTTAAAAAAAAAGAAAACAAAAAGAATTGTAGCAGGATTTGTATTACAACCCTAAGCATGCATGCGTGAAGTGAGAAGAAACATTTCCCTCAAAACATGCTTAAACAGTATATTGACTATTTCATTATTTTATAACGCAAATCTATGTAAATTCAGATAGAGGGGTAAATGTATTGATGGTCTGTTGGGGATCTGTTCTCTTTCACGATTTTTAAGTACTTTGTTGTAACGCCTATTTATGCAAAACATAATATCTGGGTAACACGGCTCTTGGTATTACAATGAGCTTTATTGCAAGGTACTTTCCATAAACCTTGCTGGTCTGTTGGGGATCTGTTCTCTTTCACAATATTTAAGTACTTTGTTGTAACGCCTATATATGCAAAACGTAATATTTGGGTAACACGGCTCTTGGTATTATAATGAGCTTTATTGCAAGGTACTTTCCATAAACCTTGCTGGTCTGTTGGGGATTTGTTCTCTTTCACGATATTCAAGTACTTTGTGGTAACGCCTATTTATGCAAAACATAATATCTGGGTAACACGGCTCTTGGTATTACAATGAGCTTTATTGCAAGGTACTTTCCATAAACTCTTTTGAACGTCCG